GACCTATGTTGATTTGTGCCAGTTGAGAAAGTGGCCCCTACACTTTGCTCTGCAGCTCCACAAGTCCTGATGACACCAGTGTTTTCCATGTGGATTAGCTGCAACATAGAGTTGGGAGAGATTCGTCTTAATTGCATCCTGTTGGCAATCTTCAACCTGCTTCTTGTCAACTTTGCATCACAACTTATCCCCATGCTGCTATTTATCAATTTCACTCTGTGGCAGAGCACTAAAATGACAAGGAGTGATACAGCGACCATCAGCTGTGTTAACCTGACAGTGAAAGGCATTGTAATCAGCCAGCCAGCCCATGTGTTTTGCTTTCCATTCTTCACTTCATTTATATCTATATCTATATCTATGTATTACGTATGCCTGTTTTATGAAGTCACAAAAAAATTCAGTCAAGGTTATTGAAAAATAAGAGGGAAGACATATATTTAAGATATACTTTGGCACTAGGCAGAGATGTGTGTAAGTGTTTTGTTTTATTAATAAATCATAACTTTTTTCTTGCAAAGCTTTAAAAATATTAATCCCAAGTCATTGTCTGTAATATAATGTTCAGAGCAGTAAATGCTGCTCTTCTAGCCAATTTCAGTAATAAAAGACAACATGAGACTGTAAAAAGGTACACTCTAGGGGTGCGTCCAAATGAGCATGCACGTACCTCTTGCCCCATCTCAAACCCCTTCGAGATGGGTCAAGAGACATGTGCGGGAATGAAAAAATGTTCCCCATGCTAATATCCAGGGGTCAAAAAACCCCCAACGCTCTGGAGAGCAGCGGAGCAAGGCACAGTCCCAGACTGTGCCTGGAGGAAACACAGGAGTCAGCCCTCTAGAAGAGAGGCTCTGGTTTTGGCCAGAGCATCTCTTTGGTGCTCCTGCTGCCCCTGGCACTGTCCAAGGTGAATTGGGTAATGGAGGTGGGGGGGCTTATGGGGGTGGAGGGGTGTTAGTGTGTGAGGGGTGGCAGGCAGATGTCAGGAAGGTGTTGGGGTGAAGCTGGCAGTGTGTGGAGGGACCCAGCCCAGACCGGTGCAGCTCACTAATCTGGCTTTGCACTGAAGCGGTTCGCACAACTCCGGGAGGTACGCACAGGAGCCAGGCCTCCCAGAGCCGTGTCACCAGCTTTGGTGCAAAGCCAGACTAGCGAGCTGTATGGGGCTGGGCCAGGTCCCGCTGCACGCCACCTCCCTGCAGGCACATTGGGACAGAAGTGGGACGCAGTGCATGGGGACTGCGCATCGCGCGACCGGCCCGGCCGGGCAGCACAAGCAGCCCCAGGGCTGGCAGGACCCATCTGGGCTCGGCACACGGTCCCCATGCTCTGTGCCGGGTCCTGCTGTCATGAGACCGGCCCAGTCGGTTGGCAGAGCAATCCCAGGGCTAGCAGGACCCGGCTGGGCTCAGGACACAATCCCTGAAAGCTGGGAGCTGGCAGCAGTGGCCTCAGAGCACCCCACTCTCACTGCTGCTGCAGAAGGTAAGTTATGGGCCTGCACAGGGGGGCTGTGGCCCTGCAGGGTGCCTTTTTTTTTTTTTTTTTTTTTTAAATAAAAGCAAATTGCAATGTGTTGGGCTCTTTCACAGTGATGTTTGTCATTTCCATCATTCAAACAGTCATTCAAGATGTATTAAATGCGAAATAGAAAACGCTGATACAGCGATTCAGCTGTTGATTCCTAATTTGCACCACATACTCAGCTTTTTGGATCTTCCTTTTTATCAAACTCCTTGACCCTGCTTTAACCAGAGAAACTAACAAATCATTTAACCTTCAGAGAAACTACGTTAGGTTTTTTTGTTGTTTTTTTTTTTTAAACCAGAGGAATTTCTGTTTGTGAGCTGAGGCAGAAACTACTGGAATGTATCTGTGCAGTGTCCAGTAGCTCATCATGTAAATAAAACTGCCCAAAACAATATTCATTTTCTTCCTGTAGAGAAGCAGTCAATCAGTGTGTGAATCATATTAATTGTAGGAATCGGAGATTGATTGTGTATGCATCCATGACCAGGAATACAGTGAGGGTGTTTCACAGAACTCCAGATCTTAACAAAAGTGTACTGGAAACATACTGTACTGTTTAGGATCACATAAAGAGATTAGGTGACTAATAGAGCAGAGCATAACAATCTTTATTATAAAATTAGGAGACTCTGCTCAGAGGAACCCTGTACTGTATACATAACAAACTATCCAGGTAGAAATACAGAAGTACTTAACTAATATAGCAGTTGCATGCCACCTGTGTTGTCCATGGACACAGTGCACAAAATCCAATAATAAGGACAGCTTTTAAATGTGCCTTTTACTACCTCATCACAAGCTGTATTGATCGTACCTCCCATGCAACATCCTTAACACAAAATACAGCAAGTAAAAGGAGAAAAATAAATAACCTAATTTGTTGAGTTTTTACAGTTCCATTTGGACACATAGGGAACAAATCTTGTTGCAATATAGCAAAATAAAATATTTCAAAGAAACTACCTCATCATCATCATCAACAACAAAAACAAGCTACCCACACAGCCTTGGCATTTCAATTTTCTGCTCATTTTCTTTAGTTCGTGGAAGTCTCACAATGATAGGAGCCTGGAGTGCAGCAAGCAAAGCCTGTTCTCAGAAATGGCAATTATAATGAAAAAGGAAAATATCATAAAAAAATATCCAGATCCCTCAGACTCTGCAAATTATTCCATCAGACCTGAGTTAGAAATGACTCTCCCTGACTGCCCCTCTTTTTTTCTGCAACTATTCACACCACAAATCAGTCTTGTAACTATGTATGGAACTCCTATCTCTTTTGCTTTCCCTATACCGTACCATTAAAGGCTGTTGTCCATCCATATGGGCTGTTGCTTTTCAGCAAGACTGAACTGATTGAAGCATATTACAGAGAAGAGACACCCTGTGCCTTCACGCAAACCTTCTGGTTCTCCTTTCTGATGATTCTAAAATAATTCATTTGTGCTGACTATGCGAGACTTACTCCTTATGTAAAAGTACAGCAGGACCAAGATCTACCGAAGAGAGAAAAACATCAAAAACCTTTTTGATATTGTTATATGTAGAGACATCTAATAAATCCCATTTTACTTAATAGTGAGATGGTTCTACGCCAACTGCAGGAAGCCTGGTCTGCACAAAACTGCTGCTGTTATGTCAGGCTAACCCCAATTTTAAATGGATTTATCCACATAATCTTCCTGGAAGACAGAGCTTTTCCCAAATTACTGGGATGATGAGATAATAAAGTCCAAGTTCACAAGGGCATTTGGCAATGGAATATGAAGCACCTAAATAATGTTGGTAATCTGGCATATGAAGAAGGTTGCAAAGAAGGGACTCAAACCCTGGTCTTCTCAGGGGTAAGCTGTTGCTTCAGTCCCTGGCTCATGGGTCTGTACTCACTGGCTGTGTCTACATGAGATGCTGACTGAGCAGTTGTTACTGCGCATGCACAAGTACTAAATGACTGCGCAGTAATGGCTTTTTAGTGATGCTGATGGCACAGTAGCTGATTACTACTACGCAATAGCATCGCATCATGCTTCACACCACGCGAGGCTATTGTGCAGTCAGTGTCTTGTGTATTAGTTCTTTAATATTTGGCAAGGGCTTCACAAACCTTTCGGGGACACAACTTTGTAAGTGCAAAACATTTATTTATGAACCTCTAAAGGTTCATTGCTGCAGGAAAAAGGAGAAGCTAACAGGAGATAAACCTGGACAGTTAAAACCTCAGCCTTTCCATTTAATTAAGGGAGAAAAGTAGCAGTAAAAAGTCTGTGTCAGAGGGTAATAATGAAACAAAACTGAGTCAAGATGTTAAAGAAAAAGCCATGCTCCAGAGTCTCCACACAAAAGTCCAGGTTATTTCAATCTAAACGATTGTCAGGCAGTGTCACTCTCCCTAATCAGCCTCTAATGCCATAAGGCACAAGGCCAAAGCACTCAGCAGTCTGACAGTTTAGTTTTCTTACATTGATCCAGAAAATATACACTACTCCATTTGCACCATCTGCTACACAGGTGTCATTCACAGGCAGCGGGGTGGAAACCTGGCCTAGTCAGAACTGAAATGCCATTAGAGGGGAAATAAAGGATGGTGTAGGAGAGACTTGAAAATACAAAGAAGCTAGAAGAGCGGAAAACAACAACAAAGAACAACCGTGGCCTCCCAGGGAGGCATAATAGATGCATCTCTGAGTTCAGGGGAAGCAAAAGATATTCTTTCAGCATTTTTCATCCAGTTTTACAATAACTCGTGAGTAGGGAAGATTTGACAATGCTTTTTTAAGGGGTCAAAATGTCTTCTGCAGGATAAAAATGGAATATTACAGAAAGCCAATGACAGATGTAGCAAGTGAAATCCAGTCAGAGAACTGGACTGTAAGGAAATTCACTGATAAGATTATGAAGTGCAGTTGACATGATCTTGATACCTTCAAGAAATTCATTTGTTTTGCTGGACTCTTAAGAAAAACAGTTTGCTTGGTTTGAGACCTGCAAGAAAGAGGAGTGTGTGACTGCTGATTCTGCATGGATGTAAATCAGTGAAAATGCAAAGGCATCTGTGTATTGTCACAATACGCAGAGAATCAAACCAAGGCTTGGAATATTGTGAGTTGTGCAAACCAGGGGCTTTGTTCCACCAGTAACAGAAATAGCAGCTGGCATTCGGGTCCAAGTTTGGATTCCTCTGTCCCAAGTACCAGTAGATTTAGAGCTAAAGTTTTGGCTCATGATTATACACTATCCTAAGGCAAACTGAGGAATTTCAAGGTTGCATCAGCACATGTAATATACAGACTCTTGATTAAACGTTGGATGTCAGTTACAGACAGATTGGGGACTGTACCAATCTGCCAACTGTGTCTTGTCCTTTTTCAAGCCAAGTGTCATTGAGAACTGTTTAGTTTAATTTATTAAAGGGTTTGAAATAGATTTCATTGAAGTTTCAACACCTGTTTGAAGCTGGTTCATGCCCACATCTGTTTCATGGATTCACCAATGCCAGGAAAGTCAAGAGTTAGTGTTGTCTGCATTGTTCATAATGTAAAGGATAGTTGCAGTTCACCCATGCTGTACTTTGCAGGCTGCTTGTTTGGAGGTAACTCCCTAAACAATGAATCACAGAAATAAAATATGTTCCTGGTATTGCATATGATGTGTGGTCACTGTGATTACAAATCATGATGCCAGAAATATTTTGACTCCATTACAAGAGGGGGCAAGGGGGTTGGGACCCTTGCCAGCACATTGCCTCGAGCAGGAGGTTCAAGCTGATTGTAAACTGGCATTCCATATGCTCAAAAGACTTTTGGAACAAGTATAGTCTACATATGCTTCTGTTGGCAAGCTCATGAATAGAAAGGAAGATATTGTCCTGGCCCCACCTAGCATACCTCCCACTCATTTGAAATGCTCTCCTGCAAATGGAGAAGTGATACTGGCACATATGCAAATATGAGAGTGATACTGGCACATATCCAACCTGGTACAGCTGGAGAGACAAAACACTGAATGAATTCTAAACCAGAGGAGACAGTGATGTAATTGCATTAGTATAAATCATGGTTTCTAAGTTATCCTCCCACTCCAAAATTAGTGGAACAGTTAAAGGAGAGTAACACTTACCATCATGCTGTGATGTGCCAGGTACACTTTTTTCCATTCTGTTGAAATCTATATGGTTCAAAAAATATTCTTAAGAATAAAATACTTAAGCAATATAATCTGCTCTCTCTACCAGCTTTTCCTCTTCATAATAATTAATCTGTGCTATATTTTGTATGGTTTCTGTTTGGGACATCAGAGAATGCAAGAGAACAGTGAAGCAATATTGTTCAGGTAGCACCATCTGCAGTGTTTTTCTTACTTTTGAATAGACATGCTTTGGTTCAGGAAAACTTTCCTTATTTAATCAATTTGCTCATCCAAACATGTGAATGTGGCCAAGTTCATGGATTCACAGGGAAAAACAATTGTCTTCTTAGTTTAAGAGCCGAAGCTGAGAGAGTCTTTTCAAACCTAGCCTTTGGTGACCTCTGTGTGGAGGTTGTCACACAGTGTGACAAAACACAACTGTAAAAAGAAAAGCCCCTCTGTGCAGACTGATTACTTCACAGAAGGGAAGAGGAAGAAGTCAGTGAAATAAAAGGCAGCAATCCATGGTTGAACTGGGCAAGTTATAAATATAACCATTACATTTAACCTTTTGCCAGCACTGACCAGGCAGTAATACTAAAAGTTTTCTTATAATTAGGTTATGAAGTAACTGTAGATAACAACTCCCAATAATTTGTTGTTGAATTTTTAATGGCAAGCATGGCAATACTATTGTACCCCCACTTGTTAGTATGGCTTAGCATATTTTTAGAAAATGAGAAACATTTTCTAAATGTTTAGATGCACCTTTTGCTATGGCGCATCTAGTTAGTACCTCATATTAGAGGTGTTAAACATAATGTGTAGTAGCAACGGTGCATTAATGAACGTGTAGATGCACCCCCTAAAAGCCAATTAAGTTGCACATAGTGGAAGATGGGGAAGAATCTGCCCCATGGAGTCTGATATTAAATTTGATCTCTCAAAAATGCCTACAGTATTAACAACCTGGAAATCATAAATAGCTTCCAAGAAAAGTGAGCTCCAGCTAATTAAATGTATAAATGCACATATTACCTCCATTCTCTGATGGCTTCTAATGCAATAGATTCATCCCAGCAGAAAGGAAAAGAAAGCCAGTGTATTTAGATTCATGTTATCTGTATGTTTAAATCCTTCATCCACTAGGATTTTAAGTTGAATGCTCCTAATATGAAGCAGTCGCTATAGAGCTGCCAATTAATCAATTATAACCTCCTGAAAACAATTGAAAATAGGATACCCAAAGATCACAGAACTGGCAGCCATGCTAAGACCCTGATTCAGCCAAGAACTTTAAGTACATGCTTGACTTTAGCTGCACCCTACGGATTTGTTCATGGAGCCAAGGGTGTGCACTCCACATAGATAAACAACACACCTTAGATGTCCATTAATTAGTAGTTTCAAATAACAATAGAAAAGAATGTGCACTGCATAATCAAAACTGCTGGGTTGAACACACATGTGGATCTCATCTGAATTTGCCCAGAAGATCTTAGGTCACTATCAGCTATCTTTATATTTTTGTATGTTCCTGCACTTCTTGCCTTTTTACCAGAGATGAGAGTTTTGAAATTCTCTGGGCAAAAAAAGAAATCTACTCCTCACAGTATGGAAGCATGTCATTGTAACGCTGTAAATGGTGTGTGAGAAGAACCCATCCCTGTGACATTCCCCATGCTGCTTCCTAACTTGAAAGGTTTGGATAAATCCAGATTAGAGTTGTGTCAAACTTGGCAGTTTTGATTTGTAAGGAGTGGAGAGGACTTGCATGAATCTTTTTCTTCTGTTTCTTTTCATTCATGCTGTCATAACAGCAGCACAGTTCTCCCCTTAGAGGATCCCCATGGACCTCAGTGGGAATTCTGTTCAATATAGCTCTACAGAATTTGTTTCTAATTACCTATAATATAATATGCACTTAACTAATGGGCTGGTTTTATGTCCTTTGTGGCATTTTTCTGTCCGTCTGCATGAATGCCTCATGCAAATTATTCTGAAATTTCAGGGAATATCACAGGTGTCAGTGGGCAGAACCTTATTAATTTGGGTTAGAATTAGAAAACTGAAAGGGTAAAATGGGGAACGCTTGCAGCCCCTTGGCCATATGGTGTGCAGATCTAGCAACTTCAGTCTGAGCTATAATTCTCTGTAGGTTAAAACCCCCCCAACAAAAACAGTCAATACAGTCATTAGCACCTTCCATTGATGGCACAGTTCACTCCACTGCCACGAAATGTTATGATGTTGATGCTCTGAATGTCTTAACTTCCATAAGAAAAAGCAAAACAGAGAGGAGGTGGGGAAGGGAAGGGAAAAGGAAAAGAAAAAGGACAGGACTCCAATCCCCTTCCACGAGGACATCCACCACCATGCCTGTGACAAAGAGAAATGGAGCTTCTAGCCTGATGGAAAGGCGTGAGGGAAGCAGAGATTCTCGGCAATTGTGAAGAGGGAGAAAAGAAAGAAACAAGCTGATCAAGAGAGGCTTTGAAGCATGTGACTCCCACCCCTAGTCCCAGGAAGCTAGAACTCACACCTTCATCTATGGGCCAGATGCACCAAATCTGCTCTGTGTCCTCTTTGGTTAACCACACCCAGGTATCTTTGCTTGTCATTAGCATCACTTGGTGTGTCTGCATCAGCTTGTCCTTCATTATTGTATGCCCCTTTTCATTGTCCTGATCTGGCAGCTGGGGGGAGGGCTGATCACCCTGGATTCCAGCTGAAGTTCAGTGATTTGCCCTTAGCTCCTCTCAGGCAGAGTCTACATAATAGGTTTGTTCTTTTCTTTTTTTATGAATGTCAGTACCTTGACATAAGTGGCAGAGAGGCAATTCCTTTGATCAGCAACACAAAACATACTAAAGTGAATGCAGCCAAGTGGGCAGCTGAGCAGAAATACATTTATTCTATATGGACTTACAGGATGGTCCCTGCTGTGTGTTGTTGCCCTTTCCAATGTCTCTGAAATATTAGGTTGTGTCAGGTGACAGACAGTTCACCTATGTGCCTTGCCAGTCACACGGCCTCCCCTGACACTAGCAGTGCATGTGACTAGGAAAAAAATAATGGATGTCAAGCCACTCAATGGATGTTCTTATCATTGATATATACCAGGATCTTGATTGCTTCTCCTCCTCTGCCTCCCTTCTGCATAGCTGATGATTTGCTGTAGGATGTGGAAAGATTTTTCAGTTCAACTGATTTGTAACATGTACCTTTCTGCCCTCCACTAATGTGTTCACTGAGCACATTTCAATGCTGGTCTAAAAACACTAAGGATGTTTGCTTTATTCCCCCCTCCCCCATCATAGTACTGGGTTTTATTTTGTTTTTTGTTTTCCCCTTCATTGTGGCAATTTTCTCTACAATGGTCTGTAGATTTCTCTGTTTCCTATGTGCTCCTGTGCTCTGTACCTAGAACCAAACCCTGCAGTCATTGCTCAGGCATAATTCCCAGTTGCCCAGTAGGGAGTTCTGACAGAGTAAAGATTGCAGAAGAGCTTCCAAGTTTCTCTCTATGCTTGAAACCTCTGTCCTGTCTACCTTGGCCTCAATTTCATCACTTCCCCTTCTGGACCTATTCTTGCTATTATGAAGCTCTAGCGTGGAAGTCAGTAACAGATGAAAAACAGAAAAAATATTTTAGCAAAATACATCCTGTTTTCCATTCACGGGACTCAAAATGGGCCCATGTTTATGGTATTTTAATGGAGTTTTAATTAAAATGTTATCTAACATTTCTGTTGAAAACATTATCAAGACATTTTGTTCCTTTACACTGAAAGATACTTTCTTATTGAAACCTGGGATTTTGGTAAACAAAATGTGTCTATAATGATTTTGAACATTCATTTTTTTTGTAAAAGCCTGATTAGAATATTATGAAAGAATTCACAGTAAGAGGATAGTTTCAACTATAGCAATATTTCTTAAAGCTTTTTCAGTGCCATGCCTAAATTCACTGTTGATACCCTATACACGTAGCAAATGTTTTTAACAATGTTATCAAATGCTGCATTTATTTGAAAATGTTACTTCTCATACAAATAATCATTTTCTGATTCTAATTATCAGTGGATAAAAATGTAGGCTGCTTATTCTTTTTTTCTGCAGCATTTTTTCTCTGCAGCATTTTTTTTTTCTATTTATTTTCCTGATTTCTTAATTCTGTCTTTGGTTACCTGGAAACTCGAGAAAAGTAATGTTCTGGGGTTTTTTTTAATTTCCTAGCATTGCAATAAATAAAATCTATTTAAAAATCTATATGAAATATTAAAAATCAAAATTGGTTCTTATAAAGCAAGATTCTGTTGAATTCTCTGGACTATACACCAGAAATTTGGATCCCTTTTTAAACATATCTCTAGGAGCATTGTCACTGCCCTTCCTGTGTGCCTGTATTGATTTGCTTGCTAATAATATACAAGTGTGACAAAAGACCTGGTCCCTTATACCTCAATGGCAAACTTTCCCTTGAGTTGAATGGGGTCAGGATTTATCTAAAGTTTACAGGCATCTTTTGAAGGAGATTGGGTAGAAGAAAGATTGTTCATGTTGGCCTTGCTCTTTTCTCCTTATAGAAGAGACTTCTTGTCATCTATCCCTGGGCTCCCTTTCTTCAGCAAAAAAATAACAAAGCCCTTTTGGAGTGTTATAACTTTTTTCCACTCAAAAATAAATGGATTTGGCCTGCTGTTCATCCTCCTACCCACTGCCTGATCCTTCCCTCTCTGAGAGTTAGACACAGGAACATATGTCACACACAAGTGGCATAAATACCATATGCAAATGTATTTTTCTGTGTAGGTGGAAGATATGAAAAATCAGCTTCTGACTCAATCCCCCCCTCCCCTGAAAAACCCAAAAAACAACAACTCAGGTGAGAAAACATCAGGAAAAATGGAAAATCTACCTTCTACCACCAGGTAACTCACCACCTGGATAAGAGAGAGGAGGTCGACATTGTATACCTAGACTTCCAAAAGGCCTTTGATCTAGTATACCATGACAATATCACGAGAAAATTGGAGGATTGTTGGCTTAACTGCTCAACAGTTAGGTGGCTAGGAAGCTGGCTGTGAGGTAGGATCCAGAGAGTTCTCATGAATGGATCCTTGTCATCCTGGCAAGAAGTGGCCAGTGGAGTCCCTCAGGGGTCTGTGCCTGGTCTAGTGCTTTTCAACATTTTTATCAATGATTTGGATGTGGGGGTGAAGAGCTCACTGGCCAAGTTTGCAAATAACCAAGCTTTGGGGGAGTGTGGTCACACTTGAAAACAGGCTGCAGATACAGGTGGACCTGGACAGGCTGGCAAGTTGGGCAGATCGGAACCAGGTGAAGTTCAACATTGAAAAGTGTAAAGTGCTCCATCTGGGGATGAACAATTCCCAACATACTTACAGGCTCAGTGGTGCCAAACTGACTAGCATCACAACTGAAAGGGACGTAGGGGTAATAATACACCATAGTATGAACATGAGCCATCAGTATGATGCTGCAGCCAGCAGGGCAAAGGATACTCTGGCATGCATCAAACAATGCATCTCAAGCAAAACCAAGAAAGTGATTCTTCTGATTTACTCAGCATTAGTGAGACTGCAACTGTAGTACTGCATCCAGTTTTCAGCACCACACTTCAACAAGGATGTGGAAAAGCTTCAGAGAGTCCAGAGAAGAGCCACCAGTATGATCAGAGACTTGCAAGGCAAGCCATATGTGGAAAGGCTGAGGGACTTGGGTCTCTTCAGTCTAAAAAAGAGAAAGCTGAGAGGTGATTTGGTAGCAACTTAGTGCTATATCAGAGGAATACATCAAGGGCTCAGTGAACAACTGTTCACCATGGCACCATTTGAGAAATCCAGGAGTAATGGCCACAAACTCCTGGAAGACCATTTCAGGCTTAACACTAGGAAAACTTTTTCATGCTTAGGGTGTCAAGACTGTGGAATAAACTCCCTCCAGAGGTGGGGCAATCGGCTACCCTGGAAATCTTCAAGAGGAGACTGGATGCTTACCTCACTGGGGTCACCTGGCACCAGTTGTCTTTCCTGCCTAGTGCAGGGGGGGGGGACCTGATGATCTTGCAAGGTCCCTTCCAGCCCCTAACAATCTATAAATCTACAA